GCTTACCCAGGTATCTCTAAACATTGTTAAAGTTGTATATTATTTGAACATTTTAAACAGCACAGTAAATACTTGATATAGATTCATATATACCTTAATTGTTAATTTTAGCCATTGTTATCTCTAACACTGTGGAGGAAATTTTTCTTGAAAGATGTCTTTTAAAAATATGATTTTATTAGGGGCACCCAGGTGACTCAATTAAGTGTCTAACTTTTGATTTTGTTCAGGGAGGTCATGATTCAAGGTTTGTGAGTTCAAGTCTGTATTGGTTTCCTCTGTGTTGACAGCAGGAGCCTGCTCTAGATTCTTCCCTTCCTCTCTCTCTGCTCCTTCTGCTCTCTTCTCTAAAATAAACAAGAATTTTTTTAATAAAATATGATCTTTTCATATCTTTTAAGTATTGCAAACTAGTTAGTTGTTTTATATATGCATTTTCCTCCATATAATATATAAACAGTTATTGATACTTTAACTGATGCTTCTCTGTAGACCATAATATTGAGAATTAATTGAGAAAATATCTCACTCTGGATGTTGATGAGCCTATAAGTTCAGGGCAAATTCTGCTAAATGGAGTGATATTCTCAAATGTTTCTCATATTAAAATGTGGCAAATATTTCTCAAGTCTATATTTTCACAGGTGCTGTAATTTCTACCTCCATCCAGAGCACCTTTCTTCAATATTTTACAAAGACAGGAGCTCCTCAAGTCGCCTCTTTGTGATTCTTTTCAACATTTTACAAATGTAGATACTGCAAAATCATAGGCCTTCACAATTTCATCCCATTCTGGTGGAGAATATAAATTTATCCAATACAAAATTAGAAACTCCATCAAAGACAAGATTTTTCCAAAGCACAATTTTCAAATTAGGTAATTGATTTGAGCTCCTCATCTGTTGTTGTTCAATTCCTCCCCAGCTTTGTAGAGAAAGAAATTTGAGCTCCTTCCTTTTACAAGCTTTGTTTTACATAATTGTAAACTTGCTGAAAGCTTCAAAAGCTGAACTTTCATGCTACATTCAATGGGAATAATCTGATTAAATATTTCTGACTGATTTTCCACATAATGTAACCTATATTTGGGTTAGCTTTACAAAATGTTATTTTCAGAGTAGGCATTTTAAAAACTGACAGACAGGGACAGGTAATACAGAGAGAAATGCATGCAGCCATGCTGAAATGTTGCTCAGATTCAAACATCAGTTTGTCACAGTTTTAGGGATGAGTTAGATACATATACTCTGATGGTGAAATATATATCTGTAAATTTTGACATTTGCAGTTTCTATTTTGATTGGTAGAATCCTGGAGCTTGGATGCAGTCAGGAATTTTAGCACATCACAAATCCAATTCACATTTCTGCTGCATAGTTTCTTTAATATGAACTTTTTTTTTTTTTAACGGCAATTTGTTCTCCATCAAAATTTGTATTCATATGATCACACACTACAATAACCCAGTTCTTTGTCTCATGTTGAACTTCCCAACTAAATTTACAATGGTATTTAACAATGTCGATGTTCTGCTTTTTGAGGGAAGAATGAATTTCCAAATACTGAATTTTGATCAATTAGAGGGGAAAAAAAATCAAAGCATTTTGGAATTCAATAAATTTTCTAACTGAGGTCTCTGGTGGCACAGATATAAAATTGACATTATTTGACGGTTGCAAAGGAGCTAACCTAATCGTCACATTTACTTCAGTTAGAAGCACAAGAAAACTTGAAGCTGATACCAAACAAACCAGTTTAGAAGCTTACACTTGATGCAGATGTGCGTGTTTCACTGTGACATGTTAGACACGCCTCCCTGCAGCTGTAATATGCTAAAACCATCAGGTCGTTCTTTTTTTTACATGAGCAACTTATGAAGTAGATGCTGATGTTTCTTCCCTATGGCTGTGTCTTCCTGTCTCTAAGGCACTAACATCTCTACTTATACCGGGGGTGGATACAGGAAATACAATATTTTGTGCAGATTAACATTCATCATCAATTTTGAGAAGAAAATTAAACATGTAATTCTGGCCTATTTTGTTGTGAGCCAAATGCTAAAAGCATCTGCTGCAAAAAATAAAGCATTGCCAAATAATAAAACAAATAGCTATGGTTGTACATATGCACAATTATGACAAAGCTGTTTAATGAGTAGAACATTTAGAATACACTACATTCCGTAGAATGTTTGGCCTCTATTTCCTGCACGTAGGCGGATATTGCCACAGTTCTATTATTTTTTCTGGACCTGAGGAGGTCCATGCTTCTCATGAGCATGAGTGGGAAGCATATACAGGGTGACCGGCTGGGAAAAGCTTCCAAAGTTCCCCTGCCATCACCTGCAACCAGAGGTGTTAGCTGTCCCCTGACGGGTGCCTAAGCTTAGCTTGGGCGAGCCGACTTGCATGTTATCCCCAGTGCTGGGAGCTTCTTGCCAGTTAGGGCGGTCTGAACAGGATCAGGGAAAGAGAGATGAGTTGCCACATTATCTTAGGATTCAAATATAATACAGTCTCAATTTGTTCACTGAATGTATTTCACATGCTACTAGATGAGGCGTTAGGGAAGAAGCCAAGAACTAAATGAGGTCTATGAACCCACGCTTGGTTTAGTGTAAATACTTGAAACACTAATTAAGAAAACTTCCTAAGATATGTGTGAGACTTAGGTAAAAATGCCAAAGCCAATAATAGGATGTCAAGAAAACAAGAACTCAGGGCTCGGGCCCAAGTGAACTCGAGCATAACACCGCACTAAGGTCACAGAAAAGATGGTGGCTTTTGCTTCAAATGGAGATAGAAATTCACCAGGGGTTCAGTAAAGGAATGACATCATCTGATTTTTTTTACTGAATCACTTGGCTGCTAATTTGAAAATAAAATACTGGGGGCAAGGGCAGCAGACCAGTTAGGAGCCTATGGCTATGATTTTGCATTGAGGAAAGAGACAGTAGCTCCTTAGGAGAGAAATAAATGTTCGTCCTTAAAACTTGTAAGCATAGGCTGGAGGGAGGAAACAATTAAAGGGGGGGAAGGAACCACAGGCCTGCATTCTCATGTCTGTGCAACCTAGATTTCACCAGTGTGGCCAAGGACCTAACTGTATTATCATAGTTCAAAAAACACCACATGTGAAAACTACTTAATTCCTCTCTTCTACAATCTTTTCAATTTATTCTCAAGCAACCTCCTAAGTACAAATATATAGATTCCATGTAGACTTACATAGGAAGGAAATATATATATATACATATATATGTATATAGCAAATACTAGTATCTATTATTCATTTGATGGTTAGGACTGTCTCTAACCAGAGACAATGATATTACTTCGGATTTTTTAAAAATATCATCTGAGTTTAAATTTGTTTCTGTTGGTCCCTAGAGTGTCATCATCTCTAGGTATACTAATAATTGAATATCCTGTATCACATTTTAACAGAAAATAAGACGCGGAAAAGTTGTGGTCCCTAGAGGTCACCCTGAAAAAGACTTGTCTGAGTTCCCAGCCCCAGCCTGTCAGGTAATCCCTGGTCTTCTGGAGTGTTAATTCCAGACATACTGCAACATGTAATTCCTTGATGCTCAGACAGCACAATATTTCAGAATTCTCCAAGTAAATTAGGAACACTCTGCTACTTCATGCCCCTCACTAGAAAAAAATTTAATCTTCAAAGATTTATTCTTCCATGATGATTTTCAATTCTCCTCCTTTCCAAAACAACCACCTTTAAGTTATCATTGAGGATTTTTTTCTTGGATATATATCTTCTCACATCACTCTACAAGATACAATTAATTAGAAATGCACTAAACAGAGTCTGCTGTACTCCAATAAATGAAAAGTTGCCACTAGCAAGGGACTTGTATCATTCTGAACAGAAGGGACACCAAGTCTCAAAAGTAAAGGTCAAATTCCCCTTTCTGGAATGCCATCTAGGAAAGAGGAGCTTGAGCTGGGAGGATTCATCACTGTCCTGGAGAGTGGAGCTGCCCAGTTCCTCCAATAAGGCATCTATATTATAGCATTACAGGTAGCGACACATAGAAGTACATGGAAGTCTTGGGATATTTTCTTCCTTTACTATCTTCACAGTTTGGTTTTATTTTCAAGAAGTATTTTATGGTTTATTGGGCATTCGTGGTCGGTTTTGCCAGAAGATAAGCGGCGTTTCTGGCTGTACGGCTGCGAAGGTGGGTTTTACTTACAGTATTGGCTTAATGGACGCAGGCGCGGCGAAGCGCCCGGTTTCAGCTAGGTTACGTATTTCGCGTCTTGCGAGTTTCCGGAAGCTCGCGTTAGGCCGGGTTATGGCTCGGAGTTTGAGTTTGCTTCGCTTCGTGTCTCTGCCTCGCGTTTGCCTTCGCCAAAATGCTGAAAATTTCAAAAGAATTTGATTTATACGCAAAGGAGCAATACTTAGCTGCCTGGCTTTTGTGATGTTTGGCAAGAGTCTCAAGGCAGTAAATTTTTTTTTCCCGGATCAGAAATAGAAGTAATTATATTACATTTTTCTAAAGATAATAAAGATAGTGGGGGGCACCCAAGTGATGTGAAGCTTGGTTGCTGGCCCAACTTTAGTCTTGGTCAGGTCATGG